CCCCTCACCTCGGTTCACTTCAGTGTGTACTATTGGCCAAGAATATAACATGAAGCATATCGCCAAAGTGTCAAAATGTTACACTGGGAGAGCCCTCGGAGGGCCAACTCTCATGAATCAAAGTAGAGAATCGCTCTGATCGTACGACAACGGGGCCCGTGGCTGATTGATGCCCCTGTCAGGCCCTGAGGTCTGTCGTTGAGGTGCCGGGTGGCGGTTGGGGATAGTCTGGCGGGACTGGAAGTCAGCAGATCTGACAGGGGGGGTTACAAGAAACGATATTTGACATGACTTTCGTGCTTCTCCTCTGCGGACCTCAGAGACCGAACAAAGAGCAAGCAGGGGGACGGCAATGAGAGACAGGATTGCTAATACCGGCTTCCTGATTGTACTCTGATGGTATTTTCTGAATAATAATGGCGGAATATGTTTTTGTGACTCCATTGAATTATAATGTGATTACATAATTTGTCACTGTGATTCTGAAAAGAGGAGACAGTGGTTTATCCAGAAATGAACATTAGCAGCGTGGAAGGAACCCAGGGGCTTGTGTTTCTAAAATAAGGGGGGCTCATGACCATGTTGGTAGCCGAGGTTTGAATGCACGCTCTGAGACACACATCTTACCTTTGTTTTTCCTCTCTCACACACACATACACACATTCAAAGTTTATTTAGACTGTGTGTTTGCTCTGCAGGGAGAAGATGCCATTCCACCATGTGCGGGCGGGCCTGCTCTATCCAGACAACTATCTGAGCAGCTCCCTGACGGAAGGCAGCGAAGCCTTCCAGCTCACCAGCATCTCCACAGAGGAGCTGGGAGGTGAGTGTGCTGACAGAGAGAGGGGGTGGGAGGTGGTGGGGATGCAGAATAAAGTGTGAGGTAGTAGCAATTAATGGTTCACTGCTGGAACAATGCAGTTACAATGCTTCGGCTCTCCTGAGGAAACGCTTTTCCATTTAGCCATTTTGTCAGAGCTTGACTGGGTGCATTGGTTTCCAATTAAGGTGCTTAAGAAATGAAATCAGTCAAAGGACTCAGAGTGGTTTTCAGTTCAGATTTGTGCCGCATGAAAACTGGTGTTACCGGTCCTCACAAAAGGTCTGTTTTTATGTGATAAAGAGATTCTAGGAAAGTAAAACTGCACATTAATAACCTGAGCTGCAGCAAAGCCCTTTGTTGTGTATGTAAACAACCGGGGAAAAAAAGAGCTCGGATCTCTGGTTTTATTTATTATTACACCGACAGAGTTACTGAGGAATGTAGCAACACCACGAAAAATAGGTCAAATGGGGCAAGAAGTGCAACAGCTCGAATCCCTTTAAAATTGTCTCGCAGGCAGGTTGTAAACAAATCCTCAGGTTAGTTGGATTTGTTGGGAACAGAATACAAAGGTGAATTGTAAAAATTGAAACTCAGTCATGTTCAAAACACATTATGAAGACAGACTTTGTGACTCAACTTTGACACGCAGAACTCGTGTGCGCTCACAGTGGTCCTGTGCAGAAACATTATTGATTATCTATTCTGTTCCATTAGAGAGCCGCTCACTTTCAGTATTATCTCCCACACAGAGTGGTACCTGATCTGACAAAATTGCCAGCTTGCTTTCAACCTGTGATTGTCACTGTGTATGTGTTGTTGCTATTTAAAGTATTTTCCCACATCTTAGCGGTTACTCTGGTGAGTAGAAATTCATTGTGATCAATGAGGCGAGCGAAGAAAATAAAACCCACGTTGTGAAAAACTGCACTTTTCCTCCAAATGGGCTGAAAGTGACATACTTTCAAACAGTCTATTCACAGTTCACTGAGGCTCAGGTATTACAAATCTTTCTGCGTGTCAGTGTATTTGGGCTCGTAATTTGCGGTTGCTCTATGACATAACTTTACATGTGCTACTCGACCAGCTGAAGAAATAAAGAGACTGCTGGATTGCTTTGTTAGGAAAGAAACAGCTAATCCTGTCACAGAGTGAGGAGAGAGTGTCTCTGACTGAGCCCGTTTGTTTGTGTTTATACATGTGGCCTATTGTAGTTTGCTCGAATGAGCTTTGGTATGAAGTACTTTGTAGTATAAATCTTTTAATCCAATGTCCCTTGTGCACAACTCGACTCAACCCAGTTCTCTAAAACAGTCGCTTTAGTGTACTGAAAGCAGAGCTGCAGCACAGACTGAAACGTCTCACCATCATTAGTGTGGTTGGCCTCTGTCTGCGTTTTGTTTGTCAAGGGCAGCGAGAAGGTGAAAGTAGTTCGGACCTATGTGGAGCTATTACATAAATGGAATTTGGACTCGTGGACACCAGAAGTTGTGATGAGGCACAATCTAGGTCCTGTCAGCCACAGATTCAGTGAAGCCAATGGGACTGTTTGATGTGGACCAAATATCCATGGTATTTGCTGCCAGCGTTCGAAAACTCCTAATCCTACTTCAGAGAGATGCTGAAGGTTCTTCCAGGATCATCTGTTCGCACAGATACAAGGCTAGTTAATCACCCCTGTGTTGGATCGCTGCTATCCTTTTCTGTAGTTTTGAGGCATTTCATCAATCACAGGGAGAACATGTATAGTCCTGTGGGCTTGACTTCATAATACACAGCCACGCGCAGGCAGGCATTCCACAGAAATACATCAGGGCCCTGCTCATTTGTACCCTATTGAAAATTGTACTCTTCACTGCTGAGCTGCATACAAATACATCTCGCTGTGTTTTGGGAGGCCACACGCTCGGCCCGCATTCCCAATCCCTCGCCTCTGATTCTCACTTTATTTAGCGAGAGAAAAAAGGGGAAGCAGTGGCATGAGTCTGGTTATCAGCCGTAGGGGATATTTACAGGCTTAGATGGGGGCTGTGACTGAACCTCGGCTCTCACACAACTGACAGAGAAAAGACAGGCATAGGAGGCAGATCTGAGACCGACTTGATGCACGGAGGAAAGAAGGGAGCAGCACGTCAGGACGAGAATATTAATGGCACACGGCCTGAGAGAGATGAACTTCATGTAAAATTCATTGTCTAAGTTAGGAAAAAAAGGATTAGTCGTGGGGAAGTTGTGGTTTTGATTGTGCTTCTCCAGTAAAGATTCGCACCAATACTGAGTGCCAGCTGAAATGACACCTTCTCCCACCTCTTTAGTGCAGGGATCCACAAAAAAATCGGAGTGCTCATTCGTGAAAAGATGTTGGATAAATACTGTCTCTGCCATCTTCATCGAGTCGATAAATTCGACCTCCTCCCTCCAAATGAAAGCACCGCCTCCCCTCCACCCCACCTCCACTCAGACAGTGCTAACTGATTGACAGGTAATTAGTTGGAGATTGACCAGGGTATTTTGTAAGCAGGTCCTCCGAGGTTTGAGTAATTCTGCTGCACGAACAGATAGATGCCTTGTGAGCTCTGCGCGTTTACTTACAACTTCAAGTTAGAAGGAAGCCTTTTATGTGGGAGGAGAGAGTCGGAAATGCTCTTGGCAGTGCTGGTGGTGATTGTGCTGTGTGGAGCGATTGGGACAGGGCCCTCGGGGTTTGTAAAATACAATAAGTATATAAAGATGTGCGGGAGACAAGAAAACGGATGGAAAGAGGGAGGGTGAGGAGGAGAGTCAGAGGGAGATCACCTTTACCTTGATTTGTCTGAGGGGAAGGCTGCGGCGCATCCAGTTAATGGGAAAGCCTCTTATCAGCAGCAGGGAAGCACCTTTCAGCACCATCTACAGACCTGCGAAAATCTGTTAATCATTAATTTTATTACATCTCACTCACACCATCTGATGACTCGCTGTTACATTTTTGGATTTCATTTTGCGAGGCTGAAGACAATAGAAACATTGTGTCTTTTTGAAAAAATTATAGCTACAGCTTGCTAAACCGACTTAAACAGCAAGTAGGTGGTTTGTAAATGAAAACATGGGTATTTAATGATCCAGGGCTTGTCCTGTGAAGCACATTCAGCATAGCCAGGATTTCTTTTTGTTATCAGGCATCATAAAACCTAAAACTGCACTCAATGTAAGTATGTACACGAAACTGGTTGTCAACTTGTCAAGTCAACCCACTGTTTTTGAATCCATAGTGCCTATGAAAAGTATTCCCCCCCCTTGGAAGTTTTCCCCTTTTATTGCTTTTTAGCAGTGAATCATAGTCAATTTAGGCTTTCCTGACATGAATTTACAAATAAAAGACTATTTCATGTGAAACAGAAAACAGATTTCTACAAAAAATGTACAACTATTCAAAATGTAAAATAAACAATTGTGTAAGTATTTTTCTTTTTTCAAGTGTCTTGCCTAATTCAACACAGGGGCAGCCAGCTGGTGATAGAAATCACACAGTTAGTAAGACGAGATCATTTGAGTGCAGTTAATGTTTCTCAAGAGATTGTAGTATAGAGACACCTGTATCTGGAAGGTCCTGGCAGTGGTGAGTCAGTACTCCTGGTTATAACTACTACATGAAGACTAAAGAACACTCCGAGCAACTCGGTGAAAAGTTTTTTGAAAAGCATGACTCAGGGGATATAAGTCAAAAAATTTCCAACTCACTGAATATCCCTAGGAGTTCAGTTAAATACACAAGGAATATGGCACATCTGTAAATCTGCCTTGAGCAAGCTGGGAAGAGATTCGTGGGGTCACCAAGACACCTATGACTCCCTTGAAGGAGCTACAAGCCAATATTCACCACCATGCTTCTTGGACAAGATACTGTCTTCGTAATGATGTGCAGTGTTTGGTGTCTGCCAAACACAGCATCTAGCCAGAATTTTGAAAAGCTACATTTTTGTCTCATCAGACCAAAGAAGTTTCTTCCAGTTGATTCCAGAGTCTCCCACATGCCTGCCTGGTGAGTTCTAGTCTAGGTTTAATAGGAGCTTTTATCAACAGCAGCTTTCTTTTGCCACTGTCCCATAAAATGTTGACTGGTGAAGACCGGTCAACACTTGTATACACAGTCTGTCCCATCTCATCTGCTGAAGCTTGTAGCTCCTTCAGAGGAGTCATAGGTGTCTTGGTGGCCTCACTCACTAGTCTGTTTTTTGCAGTCACTCCAGTTTTTGAGAATGGCCTTCTCTAGGCAGATTTACACATGGATTTAACTGTACTCTAAGGGATATTCACTGACTTGGAAATGTTCTTGAATCCATCCCTTGACTTGTGCTTTTCAATAACCTTTTCATTGAGGTTGCTTGGAGTGTCGTTCTGTCTTCATGGTGTAGTTATTGCTAGGAAAATAGTTCACCAGTGCCAGGACCTTCCAGATACAGGTGTCTTTATACTACAATCACTTGAGGCACATTCAGTGCACTCAGAGGATCTCTATTTCACTAACTGTATGACTTCTAGCACAGGCTGGCCCCTATGTTAAATTAGATGAGTCACTCTAAAGGTGTGAATACGTATGCAATTACGTATTGTACGGTTTAGATTTTTTTATGAATTGACATTACTTTGAAGAAATCAGTTTTCACTTTGACATGAAGGAATCTTTTTTTTGGAAATTCCTGTCAAATAGCCAAATTAAATTGACCATGTTTCAATGCTGAAATGCAATTAAAGTGGGAAAACTTCCAAAGGGGGTGAATACTTTTGATAGGCACTGTAGCTATGAGTGCATCGACAAAAGGGGCAATGTTGGCAACAGATGACCAGCTGCAAACATTACTAGGTCTGCAGCTGAATATTCAGCACAAGAAGAATAAACTTCAATCCTAAACTGATATAAAGAATTTAAAAAGCATAATATAAGCAAAAAGCACTGTGGCTGCTACGCCCAAAGTCGGAAAGGAAATCCAGGATAGCAAAGACAAAAACCTGCAGACTGTTTGACTGTATAAGTTGAAAGGCTTGTCAATATCATTGTCCCATCATTATGGCACTAGAAGATGTGACTATGATTACAACTGAGTGTTCCATTAAATGTGTTGCTTATCCTTATGGGATGTTTAGCCTCATTCTTTCAGCTGCAACCCCAGTGGTGTTAAATAGTCTTGAAAGCAAGTAATGAATAGATATAAAAACATCATTCAAACTGGTAAGCAGGCTTATTGCAAATCTTATAAGGTCAACAAGTACAAGGCTTTATTGCTGTAATCAGTCTCTGTTTTCGGATTATATCGCTTTACAAAGGCCTATAGAACAATGAAATAGCTTTGGAATTACTAACAGCCAACAGGAAAATAAAAGATAGGAAGACTGGAATTCCCTGCACGAAGAATCTATATCTCTCACGTCCATGCTCATTAGGGTGAACTCTTGCTCTCCCAGGAGACACTGTCACTGTTCGCACATCAAACTCAATGGGATCCTCAATGAATGGTGATTTCCAGAAATACTGATTGGTCAGTCGGTGGTGCTTTTACATACATTGATCTGTAAGCTTGAACATAACCTTCAGCAGGTATGCAGCCTAAGTTATCATGTACCCCAATAAGATGTGAACCACCATCGTAACCCTGAAAACCCAGAATTAAACTTGAAGTTACCTCAATAACCTCAGATCCTGCTACGTACTACAGACCACTGGAGTCATTGTTACACTTATACCAAGTCAATCATATGATCCTGCAACAGCTTTTGTTAAGATTCAGTTTTCATTTCAGGCACAGAAACAGCTTGATTAAGCTTGTTTTGGACACTTTATTCTGTTTTAGATTTGTTTTTGGTCTTCGGTCTTCACCAACTGTCAAGGAAATCTGTCCTGCTCATTTCTGTTCACCAGTTAGTGGCTAGTTTGTCCGTCTGCTTTTAGGTGCTGGACAGCTTTCTAACTAAAAACAGCTGCTGAAACAATGCTGAGAGTGATGTCGCTGGATGCAAACAGCAAAGTTGTAGGTTGGAAAATCAAAAAAATGAAGTGAAACTTAGCTTAGATGATGATTCTCTGTGAGTTTGACACTAAGAGTTGTAGTCATTTCATCAGTTATTAACATGAAAATATTCCTCATAACCTCTTTACAGTTAGAGGATGGTTTCAATAATTATGGGGGGAAAGAACAATGCTGAAAGTAAGTAAGATACCAACAGCAGTGTCACAGTCGCACAGTTAAATGATCCAACCATCTACCTCGACTTTCCCTCTGACAGGTTTTGCTGTACAATGACAGCATCACGCTCCTTCTGCTTTTTCTCCTGAGAGACTGTAAAAATCATTATTCGCACAACCACAACAACTCTTTGGCAGGAAAATGTAAATATAATATATGTCATTTTGTGCATGAAGTGTGTGAACAACAGGCCGGCGCTGCTGCTGTTCAGTCTTGTTAAATTTGGCAGTCTAACAAGCAGCGTAGACGAAGACATGATAGCAGACATGCAGGAACACAAAGATCAAACACACATAAAATGCCAAGGAGACAATTTAAAAAAAATAAAGAATAGAAAAATGACACACAAATGTTAACAACAAAGCACGAAAATAAGTCTGAGCTGTTGTGCAGTGAAAATTAAAATAAATTCTCCAATAACAAGACAAATGACAGACAGGCAGACACAGAGGAAGGACCAGCGAAGTCACTCAGTCAAATAAGTCCCAGCCTTGAGTTTTAATGGCAATAAAGAATAAAGATGAAGAGATTTTTTTATCTGCTGTGATGAGTTCCTGACCTCTAAAATGCGCACAGAACAAGGAGAGGAAAATAAACAGAGAAGTAAAGGACACCACAACTGGAAACCTTGTTCCCATCTGACTCATAAAACGGCACCGACAAGACGAACCAAGGATCCTCAATATTAACATATTACACTGTTTATCTAAAGAATTATTTATAACACTAAAATGTGCAACTTGTGTGTTTCATTCTTTTAAAACGTGGGTCTTATTTCTACAAAGGAAAGAAATGAAAGAGCCACAGAGACGGGTGGTAATGTACAGTGATGTGTTGTGTCTTTGTTGTGCAGAGATCCGTGAGGCGTTCCGTGTTTTGGATCGTGATGGGAATGGTTTCATCTCCAAACAGGAGCTGGGCATGGCCATGCGCTCCCTGGGTTACATGCCCAGCGAAGTGGAGCTGGCCATCATCATGCAGAGACTGGATATGGATGGTGAGACGCTACATAAGGACACACACTTGGGTGCATGCGAGCGCACATGCAAAGACACACAGAGTGAACCAGACGAGTGTGCAACTGTTTAGCATATACTGCATGTGGATGATGTGTGTGTAGGGTTGTGTCTGTGTTGCAATATAGTATGCTTAAATCTTAAAGAGTGGATTTTCCTTTCAAAGGAATCGATATGAATGCTTCTATGTGTTGAATTTTAATGTGATGTATGAAAAAAAAGACCTTAAATGATGCCCAAAACATTTAACTTAACAAGTCTTTCACTTGCTTGAGGCAAAATGAGATTTTTAGTTACAGCTTCCGTCAAAATGTTTCCCCAAAACAGTTTTCTAAACTGCCTTAACAGCAGCAGGTGGTCAGCTGTCAAAAAAAAAATTCCCTCAGAGACAATAAAGAAGGAGCCTGTCTGCTCATGCTCCTTAAACTCCAGCTCTGCTTGTAAATTCTCAGAGGCTTGCAATTACGCCTAAGCAGTCCCTGCATCACAAACAAGCTAGTCAATCTTTCTGCTGGTTCTTATCTGCCTGCTCTTGATTCCACAGCTCGCGGTAAATATCAAAGGTCAAAGCTAAAAGCTTTTTGCTTTTGCTTCCATGAGTAGTCTGACCATGTGAGAGCAGTGCTGCCATTTGTTCTGAGGAGAGACGATATCTCTTTTAAAATCCTTTACCTCTGACTTCCATAATCTCTATAATCATAGTCACTGCTAATAAAGCACTGAGAGCAGAACCTGGCACAATTATTTCAAGAATGTCAGTTATTATCAAGTGTCAGACGAGGTGCGCAGTTGTTCAAATGAATTTATCTCATTAAACTCGTGCTTAAGAATTCTTGATCCGCAGATATTTGGAATTATCCTGCCTTGAGGTTTTAGGCAAAATCGTCTTAAAAATAAGATTATGTTAATTTAAAGCTCAATTTTTGAGAAACTGTCATCAGGTTTTGGAGAAAGTGATGCTCTCTGAGCAGCATAATATACCATAATACAAGATAATGTGTAATTTTCCGGGCCTGTAATCTCCAACTCATTTCTTAATATTTTCCAGGATATTTCCTTGAAAAACCTGTGTAATTTTTCAGTAATTGTAGGGGGAAATTAATTACCTTGGAAGAACATCTCTATGTAAACATCACTGGCAACTTAATTCTCTTTACTTATTGCATTATTAGCTTGCCTGCAGACAAATTTCCCATTTTTGCATGTTGAGCTGGCCAGCTGTGAACTGACTAACACACTGTCTGGGTTACACGGTAATTAATTAGAATCCATTTATTGAAAGAGAACTCACTGAATGCTCTCTATTTTCCTCTATAATTAGTACCAAATTGCAAGGTTCTTTCTGGAAGAAATAGAAATTGCAGACACCTAAATAAAATGTTATCTTAATCATTTTACTTGCACAACAGGACTGCAATGTGTGTCGACTGCTAATGCTTCTAATATGCCCATATTTACAAGCTGTAATGAACAGAACATTAGATAGCGCTGTAAACTGCTGGTTAAATCAGTATTGGTAATATATAGTTCAATAAGCCTATGTCGTTATTCAACTCTGGTTATGCTGTTTACGATGTGCTGTCGTGGACGTATTCAATGTGTATTAATTCCATGGGACGCCGCCTCTTGATTGGTATCTCAGACAGCGTGCAGCAGCAGAATGCATAATGCAAACACTTACAAGTTGTCTCCTTTGAATTTAAAGTTGCCAAATGCTCCCTCGATTGTCTCAGAAACAATTCCCGAAGAGCACACATTCGCGCAGGTGCACACGCCTTATTTGAAAGGTGAATTAATGCTGGTGACGTGCGAGTGTTTGTCATGGATGAGAGCTTACCCATCTGTCGCTGTGTCTTATTTGTTTCGGGGAAAGAAATAAACTTTGTCATGAAATGCATTATTTAGCTCTGGTCTGCCAGCCTTCCCGTCTCGAGTATCTGATTCTCTTTCTAACCGGTCCGCCTCCCTGCCGTCTACCTGCAGGGGACGGCCAGGTGGACTTTGAGGAGTTCATGACGATACTGGGGCCCAAGCTGCTATCATCCGACAACAGAGAAGGATTCCTGGGCAACACCATCGACAACATCTTCTGGCAGGTGAGAGACAAAACTTTGCTCCTCCCAGCTCTGTTTCTCATCACTCACACGCCTCGTCGTTCATCATTTTCCCATCCTCCTCCTACTTACTCTGCCTCACCTCTGGCTGTGTGTTTCAGCAGTCAGAACAAGTTTTACATCCTTAAGCACAGCCCCAGTTTCTGCAGGGATTCTACGCAGGCATGCATAAAAACACACACACACACACAAAACACACTCTCAGGCCCCCCTACCTGCTTCTTCTGTACCCTGGCAGACTTTATTTTTTCTTTCTTTTGACTCGGGGGGCCTTGAAGGAAAAAGAGACCTGCTGAGAATTAAGTGTGGTTCTTTATGTGAGTATGTTTTTGGGTGTGTGTTTATCATTCACAGTGCTACGGGAGACATTACCATAATAAAGATTTCAATGAGGTGCCCCTGTCTGGGGGGAAAAAATAAAAAATGTCTGAGCTTGTGTGCTTTCAAGTGTCCAAACTGGGCACTATGGTAATTAAGGCTGCAGCTCATCTACATGCATTTGAATGTGTTTACTCTGTTTGGGAAAATTGTTCAAGACAAGAAAATTTGCTGCTGTTTTCTCTCTCTCTCTCTGTCTGAGCTAAGACATGCGACAATAATGAAAAGTGCCGAGTTTTGACCGTGTGTGCGTCGGGGTGTTTAGGGAGGGGGGTTGAGTTGAGTGCGAGGACAGCTGGTTGAGCAGGGCGACAGCGCTCGGGAAGCCGTTCTCCACTTTTCCCTTGAGTCGAATCAGAGGAGAAACATTTAGAGGGTGACTCACTGAAATGAGGAGGTGTGTGAGTTTCAGGTTACAAACACTTACTGGACCACATTTACATTCCCAGATTTCATTGTGCAATCACTTTAGGAAAGTATAATTGAAAGGAATGGCCATCTATGCCATTTGCACAGCAGAGAACAAAGAGATTTAAAGCAACACACAAAAAAAGAAAAAAAAACTATTGCTAATTTTAACATCAGGATCATTGTGTGAAACGGAGCACCTTTTTATAAATGAGACACGTTGCATCTGTGACGGATGGATGGAGCAAGACGGACTACAGAGCAAGAGCCAGCGAGGCTGAAAGAGATGACAGAATAGAGAGGCGAGCTGGACAATATGTTGGGGGGGGGAGTGGTGCAGGGGGAGAGAGAGAGAGGAGGGGGATGCCCCACATAAAGATACAGGAATATAAAGGAAAAACCACAAAGGAGAAGAGAGGGAGGAAAATGAAAGAAGAAGTACGCGAGGCTGTGATTCACGAAGGTCGCAGACGGTGTGCATCTCTGGGGTGATTTGAAATGTGCACCTCCCACAAAGAGAGAGAGAGAAATGGGGAGGAAGGGGGGGACGGAGGAACGAGAGACAGGAGAGGGAGAATATTGGAAGCCGAGGGGGGGAGAAACGGGGGGGAGGAAGTGTGTCTCTGAGGATTGTGAGAGCAGCATTTTGTGTGTTTATATTTCACAGACCTCAGAGGGAGGAGAGGGAGAGTCATTGTGTTGAAAAGAGAAGGTTCACCGGTGATGGATTCACCATAATGTCTCAGTTCAGTATGTTCACATCATATCCAAACACACATAGAGACGTCTTGATGGTTGACTTCACTGGGGGGAGGCTGACATGTTTTGTGCCTAACTGTGTTTTCCCTTATGTGTGTTCAGTTGTGTGTGTGTGTGTGTGTGTGTGGAATAAATTGAGTTGTCCTTGTGATTCTGCTCAGCCTGTTTGATTCAGTGTACCGAAGATCCACTGTTTTAATGTTTGTTTTCCACTGTAGCGTGGTCGGAGTCAGACCTCTGGGAGATTCAGATGTCTGCTTTGGAAAACTCCTGACTCAAGTTAGCACATTTCTGCTGACAGTCGGTAAATTAGATATAAAAAAAAACAAAAAAAACACGAGACAGCACCCAGTCTTCCGTTGCAAATTAAGCTGCAATGCCTAAAGACAGTCTGTAAAAACAAGTTTGTTTGTTTTTTTTTTTAACCAAAATCTTAACCGTGTTTGTGTTTTGTAAGAAATATGTTAAATGAGAGGAAGGGGAAAAAAAGAGGGTTGTCAGTGACCAGCTGTGTGTTATATTCACTTGGCAGACAGTTTTGTTCTAATGGGCATGCAAATTTTTCCAACACATGTCAGGAGCGGTTTCAGGGTTCCTGCTCATGGACTGTCTCAAGCAACATGTAGACGGGAGGAGCTGGGCACTGAACCAATTTTATGATGAACAACCAGCCCGCTCAATCACCTGAGCCACTGCACCCATCAAAGCAAGCTTAGCTCCGTTAACCACAAATTTAGTCGACTCAAAGTGTAACTCAACAGCACCTAAAGTAGTGCAGGCTGCAATGTGTTGTAGGACACGAATGCATCACTGTAGGGCGACGTTATGGCAAGTGTTTTAACATTTAGACTGGATATATGTTGCAGATATCCATAACTCAATTTTTCCTTGTTGAAAAAAATTGCTTTTCCAATATCAACAGTCTCAGAGATAGAACAAATGAGATCCAGTTTACCTTTCATGTGTATGAGGTTTCTCATTGCAGATATCTACAATTCCCACTGCGTATATTGGCAACTAAATTATGACCATTAGATAGATATCTACTGTTTAATTCTGACTGGTTAGAATTCTTCCTCGAGATATCTTTAATTCCTGTCACTTCAAGGTGTCCACATTGCCCTTTTAGACATCTTCAGTTAAGTTTGAACAAGTCAGAATTAAGCTGTTGATATCTTGAACTGGACTTCTGCCTACTCAAAATGTAATATCTTGAGTTGTGACCAGTTAAAATGGCGTTGTAGATATCTTGTAGTTATGTCAGAAGCTACGGAGAGTTTACAGGCAGTCAGCTTGCTTTTAAACGTACGATGATACAACCATAACCAAATATGACGAGCCGTGTTACCGCCTTCTAGTTCATTTTGACAATAAGTCTCAGATGAATGAAGCTCTTGTTCTCTAAAAACGTTTCCATTAAGTTTGTCTGTTTCACGTCAGTTTGTTATGATCGTATCCACCATAATAGCACTGTTGTAATAGTTTGATGGTCCAATATCCAACAGGAAGCCTCACATGCTCACCAGCTTAGACTAATGACAAATCCGGAAATCTACTATCTAATATTTTGAGAAGTTAAAATTGAATTACAGAATCTCTAGCTGTCATTTTTAATACTCATAATAACATATATAGATATATTAAATCTGGATAGTCAAACTTAGTCATTCATTTTTAAAATGGCTTGTCACTTTCGAAGCGGGAGGTTTGCTGCTTAAATATTACTGAATAGAAATCTTGGGAGAAATCTATAATACCATCAAACATCCAGTCAGTCGTTCTGCTGCTCTGAGCAAAGTGTTATGAAATTGTGTGTGTGCGTAGTAGAAGCTGTGGGGAAAATGCTTTTTAAGTCTTATTTTAGGGGAAAAGTCACCAAACTTTTTAAGCAGTTTCTATCATTTGTGATTCTATACGTGCAGGTTTTATGTCCCACTGATGATTGAAGTTGCAGTTGTGTCTCTGGATTTTCGCTACAGATGCAAGTGGGCAAATTTCAGGCAACACTGGATTTTTTTCTTTTCAGTCTAGCTTTTCTCGAGCAGTAAACATAAACAGTAATGACAGAACAGCAGTTAGTTGTGCAACTAAAGGAATTTGCAAATAACATGTCATTTTTAGCACCTGAACAACCTGCACTATTATTTTCCAAAAGAGGCCAATTTCCCTGGACAAAGCTCTGTTTTTTTTTTCACAAAAAATACTGAGAACTTGAAAATATTTTGTTTGTTCGACTCTGTACGCTGAATAACTCGTGTACCGCAGGTAATTATTCAACAAGTATCTTCCCCTTTACATGACAGGAAAGTAAAGAAACTATTTTGCTCTTGTTGCAAACTAAGGCACTGTCGCTGCTGTGCCATTGATATCTTAAAACTGTTTACATTAATCAATCATAAGTTTTAGTGCTTTCCGGCATGTATATTTTGTCAAATTCGATCAGAACAGGGCGATGCCATTCAAACAGCAGCAGAGTTTTCACTCAGTCCGTATTCTTGTTAATGGTTTAAACTCGCTTGAATTTAAAGTTATGTTCCTCCATTAAAATATTTCTTTTTTTCTTTTTTTTTTTTGTGCAGCCACTTGGTATTTTTTTATCAATGGAAACAGAAACTGGAAAGAAAGTTAAAAGGATTTGGAGTAAGACTGATCTCTGCCGTCTACATCTGTTGAAACCGTCTGCAGCATTCATTCTAATGACCAGCCATGCCAAATGTAGAGTAATCTTTTTTAATAAGTGGTGTGTCTCTGTTGCATAATAACTGTCGTTCGGTGGATGGTTTCATCCAAAGTGCTGCACCATAAGTGGAATTATTAACTCTGGTGTCTGAAAGGTGACAGGAACTCTTCCATTTCAGCACCTCGACTCTGGAAAACTTCAGATTGACAAAATCTGTTCATATTTTTAGTTTTTGTCTTTTATTCCATTGTTTACAGTGGGGGTTTTGTTCTGGATAGTGTTTATCTATTATTTATTTGTGGTTGGCTGTAGCCTCCTTTGTTCAAAAATCACATCTATAATTTTAAAAACGTACTATCAGGTGTCTTCTGTGTGTATTCTGGTGCATGTGTGCATTTTGTGCTATCATACGTTTGATTTCCAGCCTCATTGCTTGCCATTCTCCTGCACTCTTTCCCCATATTTCTGGTCTCTCCCCATTGTCACTTCCCAATAAAAGCAAGAAGTAAAAAAAAAAAAAAAAGAGCACTTTGGCACAAAAGTGGGTTGCTTGCAGGCAAAAGACCGAAACTTCACTTGAACTTCAAAGTGTCACCTAACTCTGACAGCATCGCTGCCGGACTGAAAAATAGGTGAGAAGGAGTTCAGAATAAAAGAAACAATGCTCGCAGGCTGCCTCTCCGGGCAACTTTTTAGAGACGGGTCAGAAGACGAAGCAGGTGGACGACTGACGAAACAAGCTCGTGGCGTATGAGGGCAGGCAGGATTAGACAGGAAGGACGGCGTGTAAGCACCTGTTCTTCTGATTGATGTGTCTTGGCTCCTTCAGTATGTCACCGGTCACTGCTCACGATGCCCCGCTGTTTCCCTGTCAACCGCTCGCCCCCATGCACGCACATACACACAAATCCCACATTAGAGTTCATTCACTGAAAGACAAAATGCTCTGACAGGCTAACTCTTGAGTCTTCTTTTTCGTCCCCTGTTCATCACTCTGTGTGTGTGTCCTTCAGAGACCGGGCAGGAGGAGAAATCACGCTGTTGGTTAGTAGCAGGTAGCAGCTCCACTGTGGCTTTTTTCCCCTCCTTCAGACACACAGACAGGAACATTGTACATTCTCTATGCTGCTGCCCTCAACTGTCATGTTGCATGTCCTGCGGCTGCAATCCAAAAAAGTTGTTCCTCCATTTCCCTGCATCCATTTGAGGCTCAGACAGCTATGCCAAAAAAAAAAGAGAGAGCAGAAATAGGCAACTCAGGCCTCCAACTGCTGCTGCCGCCACTCCCTCTTTATCTGGCCTGGAGCTCCACACAAGGCTGCATGACTCAGAGCAGGTAGTGCCAAAGTGTCGGATTTTTGTGTCATCATCTGGAAAAATATAGTCTGCATACTAATATAGCTGCTCCAAAGAACATTTATGAAGATACTGCCTCATGTTGATGGTAAATGAGTGAAATTAGAACTTAATTCCTGTTTTTCCATCATGTATTTATAATGAATTACACCTGATGCTGCAGTCATGTGATGTTCAAGTTGTTTGGATTCAGCTCTTGGCACTGTGTCAGGTGTTTCTGTGGTTGACACACTGTAAAATAAAATTTAAATGCAATTTTACCTACTTATTTTACAGATTATTTTCTTTATTTTACACAAAAGCACCACTGTATTACAAAGATAGGGTATGAATGTAAAACAGCATTAGAACATTAAACAGTCACTTACTATAAAATTTGCATTTTGTTTAAGTAAATTGAACATTTTTTAAATAAAAAGATAGATGGACACTTGAAAGCACAAAGATAGATACATTTTAACATAATGTCACAAATATTTCCTTTTTTAAATAGATTAAATTGTTCAATGGAACTTTGTTAAACAAGTTTACAGCTTAAATTCTATACAGCTAGTTACAATTAACAGAAAAAAGCTACTAGCTTTCTAATTTTATATACATTTG